GTTAAGCGTCTGCCTTCGGCTCAGGTCATGATCCCAGGGTCCTGGGATCGAGTCCCTGCCAGGCAGGGAACCTGCTTCTCCCTCTGCCTCTGCCTCTCTCTCTCTGTCTCTCTGACTCTCATGAATAAATAAATAAAACATTAAAAAAAAAAAGATGATTTAAAATACATGTTCTACATTTCCACCTTAAGAAAGTGGAAAAGGCAAATTAAACCCAAAGTGAAAGGAAACAATAAAGAATAGAAATTATTAAAAAAAGAAAAATGTATAAACATTTAGACAAATGTATAAATTGAGAGAAAAAAAAAATCAGTGAACCCCACGTCAAGAAAAATAGGAACAACTATACAGAAACACAACTTCTGCAACTTCTGTTTGGGATCCAGCATTGAGATTTTGAGTCACACAGAACTTTCTCCACCTTTTAAGAATGATTTCAAAATGACTACATGAGAAGTACTAGGCAAATTACTTTCCTACCAACTTCAAACTAGACCCATCTTTTAAAGATTAGAAGGCACTTTAACTACTTAACATAACCCCAGTCAGCCGATAAAATTAGGAAATTCAAGTCTAAGAAATCAAGCAAAGGGCAAGTCACGTGTGTGCTGCTAACACAGCAAGGTCAGACACACCTAGGGCTCTGCATCTCCAATGCACATCAATACAAAGCAATCCCGAGAGAGAAGCCTTTCCAATGTACCAGTTAAAGACAAATTATGATAAATTACATCTTCACTTCCTGCAAAATTACATGTTTTTTTAAGGTTCTTAAGGAAATAGATAATAAAGAAAATCTCCTTTTACTTGACAGCCCTAAAGATGAAGAAAATGGGTTTTAGAGTAAATTAAATTCATCTTGTTTTTTTCCCCTTCTGCAAAAAAAAAAAAAAAGTACGTGCATTACACATGTGGGGGCACCTTGTCACGTTATTGATGATGTTTAAACTGAAACATCTTTATAATAGTGTTTTCTAGGGAAACTAGTTTGCATGCCTGTACTGAAATGCACAGAAGTCACACTACTGTGCAAATACACCTTCAGCAAGACATGTTTTACAAGTCTAGTTATTTCAAATAATCCGCCCCATTCAAATATTTTTAATAGATTATCTGCGAGTAAAAACAATATACAGCTCTATATCAAAGTAAGAAAAAGATTTAAAAAAAGTTTCTTGGCTACAGAAAGAATAAAGCGGTTCATTTGGGAATTAGCAACAGGATCTTATAATTCCAACTCAAAAGTTTCAGGGTCATCCAAGTTAAATTTCCAAATTCCTTCTATTTCATAACTGTTTTTTTTTTCTTTTTTTTTTATTTGACAGAGAGAGAGACAGAGAGGGAACACAAGCAGGGGGAGTGGGAGAGGGAGAAGCAGGCTCCCTGCAGAGCAAGGAGCCCGATCTGGGACTCGATCCCAGGACCCTGGGACCATGACCTGAGCCGACAGCAGACGCCTAACGACTGAGCCACCCAGGCACCCCTATTTCATAACTGTTAAGTGAGTGAAAGGGAAAGCAGTAAGAAAGGGATCTAATCCAGGTCACGGATCCGTGCCAAATTTCTCCAAGAACTGATTTTTATTAAGGTCACTGTCAGTTAAAGCTGATCTCAGAATGAACACACTGTACTCTAAAATGTCCTGCAGCAAAAGAAAAAAATTTATTTGCCAGAAGATACCCACAAAATGTACATTCACCTCAAAACATAACACAAAAATAATACATTCAGGGCCCAGTAAGGAGATCTTAAAGAGTTTACGTTTTAAAAAGAAGTCTAAGCACTCATGAAATGACTTCCTACGATATCCTAAAATACGGATTCTTCTTATGGAAGACATCAAGGCATGGGCTGGACCAGCCGGCAGCTCCTCACGACAGGCCTGGCCGACTGGACAGGGAAGTGAGGTCACTGGGCTGGAAGCTTCCCTACCCAGCAAGCTTACCCCCCTAGGCCCTCTCCTGAGTGATTAACTTGCATATTTGGGAAATTAAACAATAAAACTAAAACAACGTTAAATGTATACATATTCACGCACACATGCACACAGCGGTTTGGAAGTTACTGTTGAAACCGGCAGCTGGGCCTCACAAAGGCAAAGCACGGCCACGCCACTCCAGGGGCGAGGTAAGGCTGGCTTCCCCAGCACCTTGCTCTCAGCCGTCCCACGAGGCTGTATGCCGCCCAGGCACTGGGGTCTGCTTATTGTTGCATTAACTGGAATCAAGTCACATCTGGAAAACCCTAAGTTCCCCACTCTCCCTCCAAATGCCAAAAAAAAGCCCATCAGAATCCAAAGTAACAGACTCGGAACGGATTTGACAGCAGCTTCAGCTTTGTGAAAGTGGGGGTCCGAAAAACACATGAGGCCACCAGGACCAGAGAAAACCCAAGCCATGGGACATCGTCAGGAAGGGCAAATTGGTCTTTTTTGTCACCGTATCCCAGCCCCGGAAGGGTGTCTCGAATGTACAAGACGCCTATCTCCTGAGGGAGCAATCCAGGACCCCTGCCATGCCTGCTCCCAGGGACTGAGACACAGCCAGGATTCAGATGCAGGCTGACACTTCCGGCTACTCCAACGGACCACTGTGGAATCCTGCTTATCTCACGAAGAAAGATCTCTCACACGTTAACCTCTCTCTGAAACTACTTACTGCTCATTAACGCACTAGACTGGTAAGAACATAGAGGATATTTTTATCCATCAACTGTTTTCTATTTTAGGGGAGAACCCCTTTTGTTTCACGTGAGTTTTAGTGACTACTTTGGGAGAAACCATCCAGGGATCAAGAAGACGTGATCTGACAATGGCCACCTCCTTGTCACCTGTCCCTGCAGTTCTCAGCGGCCCCCTCCCGCTGGTGGTGGCATCCTCACGGTCTAGGCACAGCTGTGTGACTGCGTCCTCCTCCCAGAAAACGGGGTGCCAAGAGGAGCAGCGAGTCACTGAAGCCTGCACACCTCCGGCCAAACACACCCAGCAGGCACCAGCGCCCTTTCCTCTCTCTCACTGGGCTGTGTTCTCATAGAAAAGCCACCTAAACTCTCAAATTACACACTAAAATCAACTTCACCCCCCAGAACTCCAGAATCTAGAAGACAAAGAATGGTGTACATGCAGGCTTCCTCTTTCCACCCCCTGCGCCTCAGTTAAAGAGAAGATAAAGAACATGACCTCTGACATCACACTGAACAAGTCTATAAAAAGGAAGGTTTTAGGTCACAGAATTCAATGTCGTAGAATTTGGACTGTAATGACCTTCAGGCCAAAGACTTTACAACCAATTTTCTGTTTCCTGTGGCTCTGATTCATTGTGAAATTCAGAGAAAGCGGCGAACCAACCTTAACTACAAAGATATTATTAAGTCCCAGACTAGGAAAGTCCTCCTAAGGCATGCAAATGAATCAGAGCCTGCTGAGCACTCTGGCAAAATAATTGCATTTAAAAATCACAAAGACTTTTACACTTATTCTTCAAGGCCACAGCTAATAACTGTGATTAAGGGCGCCTGGGTGGCTCAGTTGGTTAAGTGACTGCCTTCGCTCAGGTCATGATCTCGGGGTCCTGGGATCGAGCCCCATGTCGGGCTCCCTGCTCCGCGGGAAGCCTGCTTCTCCCTCTCCCACTCCCCCTGCTTGTGTTCCCTCTCTGTCTCTCTCTGTCAAATAAATAAATAAAATCTTTAAAAAAAAAAAAATAACTGTGATTAAAATGGGTAAGAAAACAAACTCAAGAGAAGCCCCTGAGCCCACATCACGTGACATGGGCCCAGAGTGGGACTGCTCCATCAGAACGTGAGCATTCTTGGGGTCCAGGAATCCAAGGAGTTATCTGGGAGGGCTGGGGACATGGAGAGATCATGGCTGAGACAGGACAGGACTCATCCTCAGCTTGGAGGCTGGGGCAGATCATGCATTCTCAAGAACTAGGGCAGTCTCTGGTGAACAGATCAAACTTCAGGATCCCATTATTTAGGACACCTGGGTGGCTCAATGGGTTAAGCATGAGCCTTCAGCTCGGGTCATGATCCCAGAGTCCTGGGATCGAGTCCCGCGTCAGGCTCTCTGCTCAGGAAACTGTGCTCTCTCTCTGCCAAATAAATAAATAAAATCTTTAAAAGGAAAAAAAAAGATCCATTACTTATTAAAATCCAAGCTTACTAAGATCATACTGCTACACCTGCAAGTACATTCTTCTTTTCTAAAAGACAAACCAGTCCAAATGCCTGCCAGTTTCTATGTGCAGTTCAGACAGGAAGGTCCTCCTCGCAGACCCAGTTTCAGATCAGCAGGCTACCCGTGAGGAGAGAACCCGAGAAAGGACCCCACGTACTGCGGAGGGATGCTTCACTTGCACCACAACAGGCTCGTACAGTCTTCTTTCTCCATGCTGAAAACGTATCACTCAAATTATTTTTTGTGCCCTGACACTGTTCCCAGTCCGGGGTTAGGACAATGAACAGAAAAAACTAAGGGCCCGTCCTCGTGGAGTTACAGAACTGGACAGGGGCAGCAGCTCTGACAGAGCTCCCCAGAGAAGCAGAAACCAGCCGACAACAGGCTGACTTCAGCACCCTTCATTACCTCTGGTTATGACCCATTTCGTACCTCAATGACTACCCTGGAACATTCCGTTTCTCCCAGGGAATTCCTCTCGCTAGCCACCAGGTCTGGGTCCTGCGGGAGCCTCTCACTCCGATGGAGGAGGAGTATCCTGCCCCGTGGCTGCTGTGTGCTAGGCACCACACAACGTAGATTTACCTGGATTCTTTCCCATGCTCCTCAGGCCACCTGGAGAAGGTGTGCCTCTCCGTCTCATAAGTGAAGACACTGAAGAGCAAGAAGCTTAGCAATGCGTTCAAGTCAGTGACAGCAAGTGTGACCATGTGCAAGCCCCCCTGCCTTCTCTACCAAGCCACCTGTCGTCTACCAACTCCACGAGCACACAACAGACCCTCACAGGTAAAGAAGGCGGAGGGTCAACACGGACACATACCTGGTGAGCACAGCGCCTTGGAGGTGGATTGGGGATCTCCATTTTGGTCCAGGAGTCCTTCCTGATATTGTAGATGTATAGTTCATTATACATAAATGTCTGCAAAAAGGAAGAGGGACTTCGTGTCATCAATGAAACCTCCATGCAAGTGACAGTAGTGGAAAGCAGGATCTCAATCACTAGCTTTCCCCAGGAAACAGGTTTCCTAAAGCCATGTAAATCATACCAATGCAGGAAGCCTGTGGCTGGGCCCCTCGGATCCTTTGGGATAATGACAAAGTAAAAAACTGTCTGCCCACCATGCCTATTAGCACGTAAGGTACCAAGATCCTTTGCTGCTTGGCAAGTCATCTCTCAAAGTCAAGCCTGGTTCTTAAAGGATGAGAATTCAGAGTGGGAGATGAACAAGTTAAGTCAAACTCACAGGGATCCTCAGCATGGAGGGAAGGCAAACTCAGGCTTTTCTAAATGTTTCATACACAATTCTGAAACACAGGTCTATTTGGCCTGCTCAAAAATGAAAATTAGCTCTACAATTTATCAGCACTTTCTTCCACTATTCAAACAACTGAAACCCATCATGAGCATATGAATAATCAAGCCAAGTGAGCAGTGTGCTGGTCGATCTCAAGCAGGCGGTAAGAGCTGTGAGTCTAAAGCTCACTGAAGGATCCTGGTGGCTTCTCAAGGACAAGGTTGCATGCCAGTCCTACAGGCCCAGGAGGTGGGACCAATGCATATTTGATATCATGGCTTTAAACTAATTTTACTCAAAATGAGACCCATGAAAATTTGAGGAGAAAAGAAAAAAATATATACTTTACTTTTTGGCCATTGAAATATTCACCTCCGAAAAGGATTAATTCGTCTTTCTCAGGATGAGCAGAGAGAGAGGCATGTAACCTATAAGAGACAGAAGCAACAGTTCAACACACCATCCAGCCACGTGGCGCCCAGCTGAGAGCCGGCCTCCTTTCCACCAGAAGGCTGTATCAGCTCCCCCGACTTCTGTCAAAGACAAGCCTGGCCCTGGGAACTTAGCTAAGGCCCCTAACCCTTAAAATCACTCACAGCCACAACACCAGGAGGGCCCTGGACCTGGGTGACTCACACAGCATTTGGGTAAAAACCATCAGGCAGTGGGAAGTCTAAGTGCTCCTAATTTAAGTGCCACATTTCCCACAGCTAACTTATTTTTACAGGTCTATCCTCTTAAATCACAATCAAAACTGTTTATAGGGATGCCTGGGTGGCTCAGTCGTTAAGCATCTGACTTCGGCTCAGGTCATGATCCCAGGGTCCTTGGGATCGAGCCCTGCATTGGGCTGCCTGTCAGCGGGAAGCCTGCTTCTCCCTCTCCCTGCCTCTCCCCACTGCTCATGCTCTCTCTCACTCTGCACTCTCTCTCCAGTAAATAAATAAATAATCTTTCACTGTTTAAAAAGTCCAGTACTTAAACATTTCAATATGTATCCAGATAGCTTCCACTAAAAAACACAAATAGCTTCCTACTTATATCACACATGAGGACAAAAGACCAGCTAAAAGGAAACTATAAATACACGTGGACCACCTCAGTAGAAAGTAAGACAGTGATGGGGGTGGGAGGGCAAGACAAACAATCATTGGAAAATCCCCTTCTTTCAAAATCCCTCATGTGGCCTTCCTCAGGGGGCAGGCTATAACAGTAATTTCAGAAGGTACTTCATAAAGGAAGACAAAGGTTTCAATGTCAGATAAGTTTGAGAAATCGGACAACTCTATTTTTCTCTTGGGGATTTACTGTACGCAAAAACATTCTATAGGTTTAGAAAGTTTGCCATAAAGAAACCAATGTTATAAAATAGGACTATGCTGGGGCATCTGGGTGCTCAGTGGGTTGAGCGTCTGACTCTTAATTTCAGCTCAGGTCATGATATCAGGGTTGTGAGATCGAGCCCTGTGCTCGGTGTGGAGTCTGCTTGAGATTCTCTCTCTCTCTCCCCCTCTGCCCCTCTCCCTGCTCATGCTCTCTCCCCCTAAAATAAATAAATAAATCTTAAAAAAAAAATTGGACTATACTGTGGAAAACAGTCTCACAGTTAAACAAAGAATTGTTTTGTTCCACTCCTAGGTACGTGCCAAAGAAACCTGTAAACAGGGACTCGAAGAAACACCTGCATGCCCACGTTCATTACAGCATTACTCACAGGGGCCCAAAGGTGGAAACCCAAGGGTCTATCGACAAGATGAATGCGGTGCATCCATACAATGGAATATTATTCCGTCTTAAAAAGGAATGGAGTTCAGGTTCATGCTACAACATGCATGAACCTCAAGGTTATGCTAAGCGAAAGAAGCCAGACACAAAAGGACAGCCGTTGTGAGACTTATGCGAAATATCTAGAAGAGGCAAATCAAACACCAGGAAGTAGTGGTCACCAGGGGCCAGGAAGAGGGGCATGGGGAGTGACAGCTCACGGGTCCAGAGCACCGTGAATGTAAGGAACCCCAGTGAACAGCACAGTTAAAAATGGTTAAAATGGGAAATTCTATGTTAGATATATTTTACCACAGTTTCTTAAAAATTTCAAAAGGAAACCATGTTTCCCAAAGTTAACCCCCAATTTTTTTTTCCACTTAACACCTATTAAAATTTTCTATGGATAATTAACAAGCACAGCTAGGAAACAGTAATCCAAGTCAAGCCCAGAGCCCCCACAGGGTCCCCTCAGGGTCCCTGCCCCCCACACCGGCCACACGCACCCCCTCCGTCATGCACGTGGGCACCCTGAGGCTCTGATGCACCTGGTCTATGGTCCTTGCTTCCCCATTAAATTGTATCACAGCCAATACCTGGGAATACATACACTCACAAAACTTGGTAATTTTCATGGTTTTTTCCTATAATATGATGGAGAAGGATGGGGGGAGAAGTTACTAAGGTTACTGACTGAAAGACCTCATCATATCTCAGCTCCATCAGAAAGCATTCCCAGCTGACCAGGGAAGAGCCAAGGTTCCTAATTATATCCTAACATTAAATTTGGCTTTTTGGGCACATTACTTTAGGGAAGTTTTTAAACGTCACCAAAAGGTGGGGGGGAGGGTGATGGGGGGGAATCAATCCACATTCAGAATGGCTTCCCTCAGGGGTGCTGTAGGTACGAAGCCTTCACGATCTCAAGGACTCACTTGCTTTAACCATTCCAAGGACAATGTGTGTCTACCACATGTGTTAACTTCTGTGTCCCCCGGGATAACACGCCAAATACGGGGAGGGAAGTACATCGTGCTTCCTGATGTTGTTCCTTACGTGAAGACAGGGACAACTCGCAACCCCAGGAGCTGCTGGATAGCACTTTGCGTCACCCTGTTCTGCACAGGGGCCACCATGTCGTCCCCCCATCTCTGGACAGGGGAAACTACACCCCGTGTCTGAGGCGGTGGGATTTGGGCATCAGAGGCACAACGGGCACCCCCCCCTCCTGACATGCTGGACCCGGGCCTCCACCCGGGCTGGTGGCAGCTCTAGTAAGATTAATCTCATTTCTGGGGCGCCTGGGGGGCTCAGTCGTTAAGCGTCTGCCTTTGGCTCAGGTCACGGTCCCAGGGTCCGGGGATCGAGCCCCGCATCGGGCTCCCTGCTCCACGGGAAGCCTGCTTCTCCCTCTCCCACTCCCCCTGCTTGTGGTCCCTCTCTCGCTGTCTCTGTCAAATAAATAAATAAAATCTTAAAAAAAAAAAATTAATCTCATTTCTGACAGCAACACTAGTAAGATTAATTTTTATTCTGAGGGAAAGGAAGCGAATCATTTCTCAACCAAACCAGTCTCGTGTGCTTGTGACGTTAATGCATTTCCCCTTCTCTGAAGGTGGTATCTTTTCTAGGGTCATTTGGCCTTTCCTGATTCCTACCTCAATGCATTCAGGGTTTTCCCTTTAGCCTGTTAGTAGCAAATACAAGAATTAGAGGGCCCTAAATCAACTTTTAACACACCTGGAACTCAGAAGCTGAGAGGACAGCAATTGACACAAAAGAGTAAGAAAGAGGAAAACCAAAGCCTGCTCGTTTTGGCTCTTTCCAAGTATCTGAAATCCTACAGAAGACACTGGAGTTCTTCAGGTAATTTACAAATTCATTTAAAATGGCTTATACACGTTTATATTTGAAAATCACACTTGTCATTACGAACAGCAACAAGAGACTGTAATCTGAAGTTCTACGCCTGTGACACACACTTTTTTTTTTAAAGATTTTATTTATTTATTTATTTGAGAGAGAGAGAGAGAGAGAGCATGAGAGAGGGGAGGGTCAGAGGGCGAAGCAGACTCCCTGCTGAGCAGGGAGCCTGACACGGGACTCGATCCCGGGACTCCAGGACCATGACCTGAGCCGAAGGCAAGTCGCTTAACCACCTGAGCCACCCAGGCGCCCCCTGAAACGTTTTAAGAACTGAAGAGCTCACTGGGGCAATGCTCTCGTCCATGAATTGTGATCAGTTGGAGAGCATTTGAATGGCACAATCCCTGCTGAGCAGCTGAGCCGGAGGACCTTGTTTCTGTGTTTCTTATGACAACAGATCTGAAAAGCCTCTCTCCCATTCTTCAGAAGAAAAGTGAAAAAACCGTTTTGTGGGAGCTTATCTGGGTGGAGAAGCCGGAAGGGGAGGGAGTGGTAACTTGGGCTTGGGAAGGAATGGGAATGGGTTTTAATGAGGAAAACATTCCATGTGCCTGGTTACTTATGAAAACATGGTGCCAATTTAAAGTGGTTTTCCAATGTACACAAATCCATCAGACGCTCGAATGAAGAGTCCTTGCTGGCTTACCTTGGTGAAGGCGGGGGGCATGGTGTCTCCACAATCTGAGTCTTTGTGGCATCCAGTGTCTGGAAATGGGCTATGAGAGCTTCAAGGTCTTCCTAAAGGCAGACAAGCAATCACACCTGAGACATGTTCTTAAATCCTCTTATGTGGTCAAAAACCTGCTTCAACCTTCCCACTCTGTCTGACCCGCCCGGGGTCCAGTCACATCCGGGGATGAGCACATGTTCCTCTCATTTCAGGGACACAGACTCTGACACTTGCAAAAATACTCAGAGCTTGACCCTACAGGCAGTTTTCTTGGAAGTACACATAGATGCACACACTGCATGTACCATCTCATTCCAAACCCTCACACTACCCACAAAGGGCCTCCCATTTAGACAAGCCCTCCCTGACTTCTGCCAGCACCTTCCACCACTTCTCACTGTGGCCAGGCCTGGCCGCCCCACCGCATGCTCTGCAGTCTGCATAGCAGTGTCTGCGACTCCCCTGCTCTTACTCATTTTGTTTACATCGCGCTCCCACCAAAATAATAAAAGGTGAGCTCCAAGCAAGACTTGTCTGTTTAGAACTGTGCCTGCAGGCTGAGAGCTCAGCAGCTATCAGCTGCAGCTAATCTGGGTAAGAAGGTCTCTATTCTTACAACTGCAGAAACAGATTTAGAAGTTAAGGTGCCAATTTACCTGCCCAGCTGGACAGCACTAGAACCTGGTCTTCCTACATCCCAGTCCAGTCATATCCCTGCATCTACTAGTGATCACACACACACACACACCAGTGATGTGTGACCTGTGCATCATGCAGAAAATTTCCTTCCATCCTTATTCTCTTCTTGAATGCTCACTCTCCTCCCCTTGCTCATGCTGGGATCTGAGATGTGTCCCCACCTCCTTCTTCCCTGCTTCTCTCACCCCAACCCCACAGCTCTCATTCCCCATAATCCACAATATAGGCAGATGTCCTTCCTGAACCTAAAAACACTTCCAGACTATCCTATTTCATTTCCCACCCCACCTCCTGGCTCCAAGCTGCAAAGGCTGCCTCAGTTCCTTACATCAGAACACCACATTCCTCGGCCTGAACAGCCACCTGCAGCCCTCCACCTCCCCTGTGTGTACCCATGAGCCCCCAGGAAGCAGCCACTTTCTGGGACAGAGTGCTCCTTACTATTACGCATTTCTTTGTACTCTTACTACACGTAAACAAATCCCTAAGTAATACGTATTATCGTTTCACATTTTTCAATTTCATGTCACCTGCATCATATTGGGCATTCTCCTGCAACTTGCTTTTTTGCTCAATGCCGTTGAATGAAGTTTGACACCCCGACTCCAATCGTGTTTACTGTGGCCGAGTTACCACTCCCTCCCCTCCCGGCTTCTCCACCCATCCTGCTGCCGCTGAACATCTGGGTCAATTCCAGTGCTTTGTTTTCACAAACACTACTGTGTTCGTTTTTGTGAAATGTCTTTGTGTAGCTGGAAGTTTCTCCAAGGTAAGCCTTCAAGTGCATAACTGCTATGTGGCAGCTTCCACTTTTCTCGATATGGACAAACTAGGATCCAAAGGGGCTCTGCCAGTTTTCACCCTCATGGCGGTCCACAAAAGCAATCACTCTCCTGCCACTTCTATGTGAGTAGTTGCCTAAAGGCTCTCCTATCGACCACCGCATCTCTAATGCAAAACCGCTGCCTCAGGTAGGCAAGGCAAATTCCTGACCCACTGGAACTTTATGGAGACCTGGGTGAAGGGACTGACTGTTGGGAGTCACAGTTACTCCAGAGCGCCTGGCCCAGTGTCATTCACCTGAGAGATTACCTTCCTGGGGGCAAAGGGCTTCAACACGCATAGTGTGGAAGGGGGAGGAACGTGTGTGACACCCAAGTGGAGCTGTCAACCAGGTATCACATGAGTTCTGTGGTAGGCAGAATTCCCAGTTGTCTCCAAGATCCGCCCTCAGGGCCCCAGCCAGGAAATGATGGGATGCACTCTCATGAGGAGGTTACATCATATGATACAGTTGACTTTAAGAAAGGGAGAGTATCCTCTGTGGGCATGACCTCATCAGACGACCAGTGATCTTCAAGATCTGTTTTGAGGACTGATGAAGGCAACATGCAAAGTCCCAGGCCCCAGACCCAACAGGCTCTCTCTCCCCGCAGGGGAGCCCCTGTCATCCCCTAGGCACCGGGCTCTGCAGAGAGACGGGACACGAGTGAAAACCAGCTAAAAGTTACTGAGTGCTTACTATGTGCCAAGCACTGTTCTAAAGATGCCCCACAAATTAACTATCTTTCTGTGCCACGACCGTACCCAGGCCTGTGCAGTCACACGTGAGAAACTGAGGCACAGAGGTTGCACAGACAGGTCAGGCTCCTCTGAGGCCTTCTGGCTAGCTGTGCCAGAGAGGAGATGCAAACCCAGGCTGTGGCTGCACAGGGAAGTGGTGAAGAACCTGACAACAGCAGAGCCCAGAGGAAGCAGAAGGAAAAGCCCGACCCCATCACTTGACAGATGCGGAAACAGAGACATGAAAGGCTTTGAAGAAAAAAGGAGCAGTGTGGAGTCAGAGCTGGGAATTGGGAACATCTGGTCAAACTATAGCTCAGCGCCACTTCACAGCTGTGACTCGTTTCTGACTTCCTCACTATCAGCTGGGCGTGCCAAAGCTACCTAACTCACCTGGTCATGAGGACGAAAGCCCAGGGAGCACAGCACACACTCGTGAAGCATCATAAATCACCCAGGTTAGGAAGCGCGCGAGCAACCGCCAACAGAAAGCAGAACACTCCGCGCTAAACTCAGCCCTGATCCATTTGCAGACCGGGCTTGGGGGGCGGGCGGGGGGGGGAGGCGGAGCAGCAGAGATGGAGACTGAGAGACCGAGAGAGACAGAAAGGAGAGACGGAGGGCGGGAGAGAGAAGACAGCGGTGCTCCCAAGAGCTGTTCTGGAAACCCCGCGCTGCACTCGCTCCCACTGAAGCTCACGGCTCGGAGCCGCCGTGAGGGTCACTTACCCTCTCTTTAAGGGTGAGGACAGAGGCTCGGAAGCTCAGGCCCTCGCCCCAGACCACACCGTCGCCGAGCCACGCCCCCTCACCCGGCTCCTCCAGCCCCACCGGCCGAGGGAAGCCCGACGGGACCCGGGACCCCAGCGGCGCGCACCGGGTGGCGGGCAGCTCGAGCGGAGGGCGCGCCGGGCCTGGCTGCCGGCCTCGCTCACCTCCTCCTTCCGCGAGCGCTTGGACACCTTCTTCTCCATCTTGGCAGCCGTCTTCTCCGCCCCGCGGCCCTTCTTCTCCTTCTTGCTCTTCTTGCCCATCGCGCCGGCCCGAGGGGGTACCCGGACTCCCAGAGGGGCGGGCAGTGGAGCTCGGCGCGCGGCGCGCCGGAAGTACGTGTTGGCGGGGGCCGGCGCGCGGAAGTGCGACACTTCCGTCCCGCCCCCGCACGCGCTTCCGGCCGGCGGCCCCTCACTCACGTGGCCTGGGTGCTGGGGCTGTGGGGACCGCTTGCGGGGGGCTCCTCGGGCTGCGAGGCGCGTAGGCGAGAAGCTGTCGGCTCTCCCCCTCCCCCGGGGCCGGCCGGGGCGAGCCGTTGCTTGGCGCCCCCGCACTTAGTGACCCAGCTGGGTGACACGGGGCGCGAGTCACCTTTGCTTCTTCCTCGGACCCTCTTAAAATTAAATGACTGCTTCGACTTCACTCCCCAGAAAAATGTTCCTACACTTTCAAGGATTTACAGACTCTTAGGTGAAGACGGTCCCTCCGCCCACGTGAAAAGGGCCGCACATGTCTTAGGCGCTCAGGATTACCGTGCTAAGGAGGGAAACTAAGTCGTGCCGCCCGCCGTCCTCTGAGTTCCCTGACACGTCCCGCCGTGGAGGACCCGCTTCTTCATCGCAGGGGGACGGCTGATGATCCCCTCCAAGGGCAGTCAGCTCACCATGCCCTGCAAACTGAAGCAGCCTGCCAGCACAGTGTGCTCCAGGATTTGACTGGAATACCCTTATAAACGGGAAAGCTATTTGTAGGGCATGGAGAGCTATGGTTTGCACAGAGTACAATGAAAATCCTTAACATTATTTAGAAAATGTCATCTTCGGCTGGTAATCAGGGAAATAGAGCAAATTAAGGACAAGGACAAGCAAACGTTTGGCAAAAGGAAAGCATAAATCACGAAATGATCTAGTTTCTTTGTGAGTGAACGGACACGGGGCTCAGCCGTAAAGAAATTACCTTGGATCTATGAAAATTAATAAAAGGAAACCTCACTAAAAACAGAGTGGGGAGCCTAGAAGGTCAGTTACAGGAAGCACTGTCAATTGTAGGGAGCCCAACAGAATCATTACAGGCCCCATAAGGAAAGTTGGAGTTTGCATTTTCTGCAAGAAATAGACCACCCCAGCAACTCAGCTGCTGAGAAGTCATCATTACCCTGGACTCCTGGTTTTCTCCTATGGACTTTTGTTCCAAACAACCCCTCCTAGCTTCCTAGCTCCTTCTCCATAAAATAGCACCCCTCTCCTTTATTGGACTTGCCTATGGTTTTGCCACAGCTTAGGTGTCCCGAGTTGCAATTCCTCTGCCATTGCTGAATAAACCCACTTTTGCTAGTAAAATAACTGTTTTATTTTTATGGTTAACAGATCCAATCAAATGCTAATCCCCAAAGAGCCAGGGATGAATGCTTTTCCAACCAACTCCAACCCTTGTCCATAAACCTAGTTGTGTAAAAAGAAAAATGAAGTTTGGGAAAACTATGGGAAGTAGAGGAGGATTCAGGCTGCATCTGTGTCCAGCGCTGCTTGGAGGAGATTAGGAGACCATGTGTGATGATGAAATAAAACAAAACAAAACAAAACACAGTTAGATGTATAGAGAAAGAAGCTACAGAATTTCACGGTCAGCTGGCTCCTGAGCCTCCAGACATAATCATCTCTGACAATGAGCTACAAAAGGCCAAGACTTTACTATTGCCCCTGCTTTCCTTCTAGTGCAATATGACTTTAAGAACGTACCTAATCTTCTTGTACTTTTCTAAGAATATTGGATGACCTTGAGGCAATGCACTTGAAGCCAAATGGCCCTTGAGTCACAGAGCATCTGTAGGAAATACATTACAGTGGGCCCCTCTTGAGGACTGAGAAAGGGAGAGCATATTCCCTATTAAGATTTAGAAGGGTCTGGTAGATGCAGGGTTTAATGCTTTTATTACCCGAAAGAATCTTCAAGCTGAGTTGGAAGGCTCTTGGGTGATGGGTCATGGTGATTTACGTGAGATTGAAATTCTCATTACCCAGACAGAGAAGCTAGAACATTTGAAATGAGATCAGAATCCCAAAATAGTAAAAAGATTCACTGCATGGTCCTATTTTAGTGAAATCATATTTTTGATACTTTAATGGATTATCTTAACAACCAATATGTCATTAACTGTCAGTGTATCTTTTGTGTGGTCAGGCGCCCTCTGCTGTCTTCAAGTTGGAACCCAGAAGAGAAAAAATATTAACAATGGAACTAACTCATTACCCTCACCACAAATAATCAGTCTAATTGGAACATTCTCCCATGGGCGGTATAGATGATGTGGTTCTTTGCATGTTTCCCATCTGGAAAAATGGGACTATTTAGCCAGCCCACCTACTACACAACATTCTTGGGAGAATCAAACAAAATAACAAAAAAGCTTAGAAAAGTTTAGCAAAATACAAACTTAAGAGATTCCGTGTGCTGGGAAGTCACGACTTTGAGCTGGCTGGCAATCATTTCATGTAGCAAAATGAACTGGACCCTGCAACACGTGAACATTGTACCAGAACACGAGATACAAAGCGCAAGACCTGACCACCTGCTTCCAGGAGCTTTGGTTCTAACAAGACAGATGGAATGAAGAAGGAGGGGGGAAGGAGAGGGAGGGAAATCAACATGTTGTTTCACACATTCATCCGGTGTTCTGGACGTCGGAGGGGAAAAGGAAAATCCAGTCTCCTTGCTCCACTGGTGCTGAAAGCAAAATTCTCTCCTCTTTGGCGTTATTTATATAAAGTGTGCTGTTTAATTTCCAAATATTTGGGGACTTTTTCATTATTTTTTTCCAACTTATTTCATTTATTTGAGATCTCCAAGAGTTTACTGCTCTCGGTCTCCTTCTAAATGCTACTTCAGGTGCATCTTACACATTTTAATATGCTGTGTTTTGATTTTTCATTCAGTTCAAGATACTTCCTAATTTCCCTTTTGAATTCTTCTAATATCCCTGGGTTACTTAGAAATGTGTTATTTAGTTTCCAGATAATGTGGAGATTTTCCAAAGATCTTTCTGAAAAGTTTTGTTTTTCCTCTAACTGCTTGTATGATTTTATCTTCATTCTTATTGCCTGCAGTTTCACTAAGATATTAATTTCTTTTTATTTACCATGCTTGGGGTTCAGTGGGCTTCGTGGAGCTGGGGACGGCTCTACCAATTTGTCTTCAGAGGATGCTGTTCTTTCCTCTTCTCCTGGAGCTCCAGTTAAATACATGATCCCCCTTCTCAATCTCTGTGCCGGGTCTCTTAACTAATCTTCCCCATTTCCCATCTGTTGGTCTCTCTGTGCTGCATTCTGGATAATTCTTTCTGATTTTATCTACTAGTTCATGGGTTCTTTGCTCGGCTCCATCAAATCTGTCTTTCTGACAGCCCAGGCGGTGCCCTCTGGGGCTCTCAAAACCAAAGTCAAACATGGCAACACTTGCTCATGCCTGGAAGCAAAAGCCGTTCGCAGAACCTAGTTTCTACCTAATTATTTTGCTTTTCCTTTCTGTTGGGTTCTGATTTGGTGACACTTTACTCCTTGTTAGTTCTGAAATGTCTTTAAGAAACTCATTTCAACATTTATCCAGCATTTTTAGTTGCTTTGAATGGGAGGATTTGTCCACAGAACCCACAGCCTTGCTTCCTTCCTTTTTTTAAGTGGTATTTTTCAGTATGTAATTAAACATATTAATTTTTAAAATTTGGAAAACACGGACAAGTCTAAGACGGAAACTTCAAAGTCGCCCACGGGCTTCCCTCCCACATGCAACCACTCTCAGCATTTGTGGGATTTTCCTGCTGACTGACGGTAAGCAAAGGTCTGAGTTGTCTTTCCCTCATCTGCTTAGCTTCTGTGAGCAGGACCTCCTTCACTCTTGCTCTTCCCCTATCTTCTTTATCACTGGTGCTCGGAGCATCACATGACAATCAAGGACAGTCCGTAAGTTCACATCCATTTTGTGGCGAGCGTGTCCCATAAACCTATCCAAACACAGCCCAGAGTCAGCTTTCCTGAACGCAGTGGTCAGAGGCACAAGATGAGAGAAAATACAGTAAGAGAAACAGTGCAAATCTGTCCCTAATGATAAATTTGATTTTAGGAAGGTAAAACTCCTTTGCCAAATAGTTGGAGATGTTGATCATTCTTAAAGTAACCTGACTTTTAAAAATCCCCATAATATCACTATGTTGAGCATCTGGCTCTCGAATCCCAGGAACCAGCTCTGTTTCCAAGCTCAGTCGCCTCGTAGTTAACAACTTACACTGAGGACTGTTCGTGGTACCCCCTCAAATTCCACCTGCCTGGCTATGAATCTAGATCACACCCACTAAAACCTCCCTGCTCTCAAGAAGGGCTTTTGCTGTCACTGTTCATCCACAAGGCTCTGATCTCAGGCCATCTGGAGGAAGCAGGTGTTAACCCTTCATGGAAGCACAGTTGTGAAACCTGCATTCTGGGCACAGAGCTCACCACATCCTCCTTTCTTTGTCCACACTAGTGAATGATGCAATTAATAGAAAACATGTGCAATTAAAGAAAGACCTTCTCCGTCAGAGACTCTGAGGGGTGGTTCGTTATAAGACGTGCCCAGAGATGGGACTGGTGAATCGGTGCAGTGTTGCCCAGTTGTTCAATGACACCCCAGGAATAACAGAGTATCTGGTTTCCAGGTTAAGTCAAGATTTTCCCACTAATGCGCTTCCTCTAATGGTCCTGAGAATACATTAGAAACCCACTGTGTTAGAATCACCCACGTGCTGTAGCTCTCTTCCCCTACATTTTAATCTCCCTTCCATCTTGTCTTTTTCACTTTTCTATCCCCAGACAGCAAGGTCACACTATTTGTTAAATGTTCACAAACTATGAGTAAACAGTGAATGCATGAAGTCCCCTCATGACTGGCAAGGGCTGCAGAAAGCCTTGTCCAGCTCAGTCAGACAAGGGGAGGATCTCAGTGGTCAAACATTACTGTACATGGATCACCCATTTCCAAAGAATACGAACCACACATATTTGAAAACTCAAGTGAGATGCAGGTGGAGATTTAGAAAGGTCCAGCAGAAGAGCATGGGATCA